GTTCACAAGTTTAAATGGCCTTCCCACCATCAATCTTATAATACAAACTGCAATTGTTGCTTAGATATAATGAGCGTTACAAGCTTCTAGAACAAATCCTATCACTCTTACATCGTCGCAATGAAAAATTTTGTTGAAAAGTTAGCTTCAAGGCATCAAAGTGCTAGAAGCTTGCTCTGCGCAGCACCTTGTTCGTAAGATTCAATGATTTCAGCTCCAAAGTACTGCCATTTTGGACCGCGTGCACGATACTCGTCTACAAACCACTTTGAAAAAGCTTTTTGCCCAACGTAGCTGTCCACGCAAAAAGTTATCTATGGTGAATGGGTTAAGTGCGTGTTTACATACGCTACTTTACTTGGTATTTTGAAAGCATATCTTCATCGTAACGCACTAGTAATGACGCATGAATTCATGTTGGAGAAAGCCTGTTTCCAAGAGAAAGCTACCTGATTTAACCATTCAAAATAAATTCTATGTTAGTGATCTGATTTATTCAAATCTTTCTTCTTTGCCAAAGGATGTCTCGAAGGAGTAACTACCTTTGCTGCTTTACCTCTGACCGAGTGCGAGGAACATAGTAAGTGTGCTAGTGTCCTCGCGCTCTATGAGTATTCTTGTGCTAGTTGAATGGAAGTGCCGCATCCTTTTTTTTGATCAGCATGTAAGTAGCTCAGATTTTTAGGACGTTAATGTGGACTCTTGCTCAGGCAACATTAGCGATGAAGTAAAGTTGTATTAGACTTCAAATCAAGCACTAAATATCACAAAGGTTCAGCAGCACAGCCTAACGCGATCATAGCGAACCTATTCAAAACTGCAAAAATGATGAAAAGGGAACAAACCCTCTACGTCGCACTTTGAGTGGCGACTCTTACCACTAACTGCTAGAAGTTTTGCTATGCATATTTCTTTATAAAGGAGAAGTGAAGAAGAAACTGTTGTAACTTCTTCCGGAACATCTTTTGACACTCAGCGAAAATAGTTTGTTTTCATTCTGGTTAGTAAAATGCAGCTTTTACTCATCTTGAGTGGCCACTTCGACCAAATATCCTTCTGTTAGATACACATCTAATGTCCAGAGGGTTATGCATTTCATAACGGTTTGTATTCTAAGACAGAAAGTATGCTTGCTATCTTGGCTCACAAAGTGTACAATCAGTGTCTTTGTCAGCTTTTAATTAATTGTGTGAGCAAGTCGAGCATATTAATCTCCCAGAATTAATCTCGTTCAGATTTATCAGCTGCAAGGTCAATCTTATTTCCAGTTAGCTCAGCAATTGCTTGTTCTTCTCTTACTTTCTTGATGTCTCTTACCCTACTTCTCAGATCACGCCGATTTCCAATATGGTGTTTAATTGTTGGACTTGGAAGAGGTAACGCAAAAGCTTTTGCCGAAACGATTTTCTA